TAGAGAGAGAGAGAGAGAGAGAGAGAGAGAGAGACAGACAGACAGACAGACAGACAGACAGACAGACAGAGAGACAGAGAGTTTGGTAAGTTTAACGGCACTTGCGACTTGCAACACAATAAGGTCATTTAAGCAAGTGCTGAAGAGAAGAAGTGTTACTTTAGAGCAATGTACAATAAAGAACACAGAGTGGGAAGAGATAATGACAATAGATCTTTGATAGGAAAGAAGGAGTAAGCCACGTCAGAGTAACCGCAAACCATCCGCAGAGAGAGTCAGACAGACAGACAGATTTCATGGGGAGTTTTTAAGGCTCTCCCATCTCTTGGCTTAATCCTGTTGTTGCAGAAGAGAGTTAAATTTGGAGACATCCCCCCCCCCCCCGCCCCTCACAAAATGACTAGACAGTGCTTTCGGGGGTGTTTAACCTACACAAAGCTCCGTTTCAGAATAATTAGTGAGGTTGACAATGTGTGTGTGGGCCTGGAGAAAAGTCCCAGTTGTCAGAAACTTGGGAATTGAAATAAGGTCATATTTTGTAGCAAATTCAATGCTGAAAATGCTGACTTACCTTAGTATATCGCCCCAATTTCTTGCACATTTTTAACCTTTGGTGAAGTACAATATGTTGCAAAAATAATTAGTTTAATAAAATATTTAGGCTTAAAATATTAATCCTTTCAATATATATGTTATTACATATGGTTAAACATGTGTTTTCTGCGGGGACTAAATTTTTGACCAGGTACGAGTTTTATTGGCCTGCTCACCCCGTTGCAAAGAAAATAGTTTGCCAACAACTGGGACCGTTCTCCAGGCACACACACATATATATGTGTGAGGGGGTTACTGTATATATATATATATCCTTTCAGCTTTAGTATTTCACGATTTCACACATCTTTTTGCGTGTGATTTATCTTCTATCATGGCGCTCAAATGACCTTATGCGATTGCAAGCGCCGTAAAAACTCTACTAAAACTAAATCTTCTATCATTATCATTGTTACAGTGGTCTTTATTGACATGACTTACATTATTTAGGAGGCAGGCTGCTTTGTCCTTGTCCATAAGGGCCAACCTGAACAGGGTAGGATACAGCACCCCAGTACACGTAATAACATAGATATATGCACTTGATAAAGTAACTTCTTCAGGGGGAATCAAACTCACATTCTCTATGAGTAATGGCAAATAGCATAAAAATCACACCGCAGTTGCCGGTAGAAAAAAAAACTTAACAATAGCTAGAACAATTCAGAAAAAAAGAATTTACCCCCTTCCCCCCTCCTTCGAAAATCAAGGAAAGCCAAACAGATTTTGAACTCCGCCTTCAAAATTAAATAAATAAAAATTTTTAAAAACAAACAAACAAAATCAAAGTATGGCACATAATTAGCACCAAAACAGGCATTTATTCATTAACAAAACGGATTTCGACAACATTTTCTCAAGATTCAGCTCAAACAGATCACTCATGCATATTGAAAGCCCTCTTACAATGTACAGTGGATTCCAGACCAATCACACTTCTAGAAACCATTTTCATGGGAAATAAATGGAAATGAGTCATAAAGATTTTCTAAAAAGAGTACGTTATTTAAAGAAAACTTCCCACAGTTTTCATTAATTTCAAGCTCAAATCCTGTGATGAACGAAAGCCTATCAGATTGTTTGAGGAAACACGAACACTTAAAAAAACAAAATACAGAAAAAGATGTAAAGGTACACGAAGTCCAAAACAGACAAAAATTTATACATCTTAATGAATAGAAATCAACAAATATATTGCAAATATTTAAAAAACAACAGAAGCCACCCACCTAACCCATGACCGAAAATTGCAACTCCCCTCAACACCTAACAATTCAAGAGAAAGGATAAAGTAAAGTATAAAAATCACAAAAGATGAAAACAAAGCAGTCACACTCTTTTCACAATTACCTAAAACAGCCTTTGTGTGCGTTGAGAGCTGTACAGTCGTCTTTCCTTCCCAGTTTTAATTTTTAAGTACCAACATTACAAGCGCAGGTGTCCTGTTGGAGTACATGTAGTATGACATCACCAAAAAAATAGTACAAATATGAACCAGACGCAAACAAGGCAAAAATAGTTTTCTTTGATTTTACTAGAACATTAAAAATGCAGCAACTGGAGTGGAAGGAGTATTAGAAAATGGCATGACTTTTCAAAGAAATGACGATTAGCAAACAATGAAGCAGCAAGCACGATTTCCTTAAAAATTGTATCAACTGAAAAAAGTATCAAACAAATGCTGGACATTGGTTTTGAAGCTGTTCTTTTGATCTGAGGTGTGAGGAACCTGTGGGGGGGAAGAAAGATTGAACATGAGTGTGGATACTTGTTATATAAAAATGCAATAATAATAACTATTATTGTTATTGTTATTATTATCATTATTATTATAAACATCTGCAAAAATATTGCTTCTTGTGCCACCAGTCAAACTGATACGTACATCCCTACAAAATGCACTTCCAAATGTTTTTAAATATTAAAAGTAGCATTTCTATGTTAACCCTTTGAACCTGAATGATCGATATTTTGTTTTAGACCGTAGGTCTGTGAGCTCCGAATGCCTGTTATACCAGTATTCCACTATTACCTCCATCCCAACTGTTAACATAAGCCCATGAATCAGGAACCTAGGTGAACTAGTACAATCGGGGCAAAAGGGTAAATTTAAGATGTTCAATGACACTTTTTCTATTGAGAAATGAATAGAACTTCTAAATGACTATATAATAAACAAAGAATGTATATATATACTGAAAACTGCACAAAATCTCTTGGTTTTGCAGCATAATTTTTAGAAATTAGACACTATTACGGCAGATGCAAAGACACTAAGAAATGAAATGTATCAAAATAGTAAAACTCTTTCAAGAGGCATCAACATTTACCACCACTGCTTACTGACTCGATCTGATCTGAATTCATCAATTAGGCCTACATGTCAGTATCCAGTGGACACTAGGAGAGACTTCCATTTATTTTTTCCACAAACTTACCTAGAACTTTTTCTCACGGGTAAGTGCTATCTCATTATCTATCATGACTTTAATTTTAAAATATTGACTTTTGTTAGTTTTTCTTTTTTAAATTAAATTTTCGAAAAAGGTATATTCACTTTGACAGCCTTAAGGATTTACTGGGATGACATGTGAGCCTCTGATGAGAAGAGATAAAATTGAAGCACCAAAACTGCCCCCTTAACATTGATAATAAAAACTTCAGTGAAGAGAAAAACACTTTTTTGCTTACCGTCAATGCTGTTTTTCGCTTTTTATTTAAAGGAAAATATGAAGATGTTATCCAAATAAATCCAAAAACTTAGACTAACGTGATTGTTTGAAAAAAAACCCATAAATGGCAGCACTTTCCCATTGGAACAATTTTTTAAAAGATGAGTTTTAAATTTTTAGTTCTGAAGGATTCAGCTGCAATTGGCGACATTTACTCAAGTACCCAGTCACTATTGTACCAGTAATAAAGAAGATCAGTTTCTTGTGACATACCTTGATGGGTTCAAATTCTGGCCCTGGTGGTTCAGGCATGGGTGGAAAGTGCACCTGGCTCAGAAGGAACCACATGGCATCAGGGTCGAGTCCAATGAAGAATGAAAAGGATTCAATACTGGCCTGTCATACAAAAAGAAGCAATGGTAAAATTTTAGTGAGGACATAGGTAGGGGATGGACATGTTTTAGTTTTAGTAAGTTTTACAGTACTTGCATCACAAATGGTCATGAAAATATCCAAGCCTGAGATTAGAAATGTGCCTAGAGAGAAACATATACAGAAAAGGAGAGAAGAGATAAAGATACAGATATTAGCAGAAGTACAATAAACTCAGGCACGCCCATACATTGTCTTAAAAAATAAATGTATCATTCATCAATTCAATCATTCGCCTGAGCCAGTTACAGTTCAAGCATAACACAGACAATAATATTTGATCCCGAAAAATGCACGTCGCACTGACCTGTTGCAGCGGCCTGGGCTGTTTGTCACACAGGTAGGGCAGACACATCTTGGCCACAGACTCCAGGTCTCCTGAGTCCAAACACAGCTGAGGGGCAGCAAGACACAAGAGACTTTACTTACTTACTTGTTTTGTTTGTTTGTTAGAAGGAGGAGGAGGAGGAGGAGGAGGAGGAGGAGGAGGAGGAGGGGGAGGAGGAGGGGGAGGAGGAGGAGGAGGAGGAGGGGGAGGGGAGGGGGAGGGGGGGGAGGAGGAGGAGGAGGAGAAGGAGGAGAAGAAGACGAAGAAAAAGGAGGAGGAGGAGGAGGTAGAGGAGGAGGAGGAGGAGGAGGAGGAGGAGGAGGAGGAGGAGGAAGAAGGAGAAGAAGAAAAAGGAGAAGAAGAAGAGTGTCACACTCATAAAAAATCATTTTTGGCCAGTATGAGAAAATGAGAAAAAACTGTTTCTTTCCCACAATTGACTCTGTGAAACACTTGAATTTTGGAAAACACAATTTATTTTTCATTTGCATTATTCCTTTGTCAAAGCAAACAATATTGCCAAGCTGGCTCTGCTCTTCATTGCAGAGCGAAAAACTCCAAATCAGCCAAATATGACTTAAGCAATTATCTTATGAGTGTGGCGTTGATAATATTAATAATAATAATAATAATGACGATGATGTTGATAATAATAATAATAATAATAATAATAACAATAATAAAGATCACTTCTATAGCACCCACTCCCTGGTGGCTCTAAGTGCTTTGTACCGTAATAAAATAAGACTTAAATCAACATTTCACGCATGCTGGTGAGTAAAGAGAAGCACAATATTACTGTAAAAGTCTTATATAGTGTGGGAAAATAGAAAGACAGATAACCAGGAAAAAAGGGAGAATATAAAAGGCAGGACCCACTAGTGGAGTGGCATCCTCCAACCATCTGCAGTACAGGACAGACTCTCATATCAATATTAAACAACTATTTCACCAGCATTGGAGACAAATTCACCCCTTCAGTGCCTCATATCTTCACTTGTAACGGCCCCGGTCAATTTGTAACGTTACTACTAAAATCTTTAATTTCTCTTTGACTACTGAGAGTATAAATCTTCAAACTTAAACGAGATGGTAGAACAATTATTTTGTTATTACCCTGTAAATATAGTATAGTAATGGTAATAGTAATATCGTTTTTATTCGATCATGTCAAAAATATGTTAGGAAAATATCCTATCAGTCTCGATTACACAGCTGTCTCTGGGTAAAACGAGGCTAAAATTTATCACTGCCAAAGCTGGAGAGGTCCACACTTCACATGCTTCGTCACTCCATTCAAACTATTGGGTATAAAGATGTGAAGTTATGTTTCCCTGAGCCAGTTAAGCACACTGAAGCAAAACAGGGGATATGTTAAGCGATACTGAAATACCACATCCAGAAAAAAATTTTTAAAACAAAAAAAAACATTTGATACGTTCAATTTCAGAACCATTTAATAAACTAATATAGTATTATGGTATACTGGTTCAAACTCCCCACCCCACCTTCCCACTTTTGAAAGAAAATGAAAGTAACGAGATACTAGACAGAAAACCAACTTCATCATCAAAGAAGATACAACTGAGAATACTGTAATCACACACTTGTCAGTAAATGCTGTTTACTGGCCTGCTCTCCCATGTACACAAATAAAAAAATCCAACTCACATTTTTGGCAATTGGACCAAGACTGTGTAGAGCGGCTAACTGCAGTTTGTAATTGCCAGTAATTTGGTAGGCTGACTTGCTTCCAGAGCTGTTGATTTAAAAATAAATATATTCCCTTCAATTTCACATAAAAATAATGCATTTTTTTGCACTTTGCCCATTTCGGTTTTTTGCGAACATTTTGAATTTGAGATTTGAGAGGGCCAGTGTCATGTGCTCCAATGCAGCAGTGCACATTTCAACATCTCACAAACAACTTGAATTAGCCATTTAAAAATAACAAAAATCATGAAGTCAAGTTGTACACAAAGAAAACCCGGTATGTTGTAGTAACACAATTCGTTACATCATTTTTTGATGAATGGAGAAAACTTTTTAAAACACAGCACCTGCAAAAGCCAATTTTATGACTTGAGGTAAAAATGTCTAAATAATTATATTTTTCGTACGAGAAACAAAATCCTGCTATATTGAGGAGACAAAACAAGTAATGAACATTTTACATGCCAGCAATTACACCCTCAAAAAACATGACTTAAGCAAGTCGTAGGCTACCTCAGAATTACAACATTCTATCTGACATTTTTGGCCGTTTTGAGTTACAAGACCATGAGATAAAAAACCAAATATTCTATCTGCTCTACATATCAAAATCGTAAGATTATTTGGAGGCATTATCAAGATATTCAAAGAATTGCATTAGAAAAAGCTTGAAATGATGTGAGACTCAAAATTTTTTACTTCAAATTTCTCAAAACTAGCTACTGAGCAGATAGAACTTTGTAATTCTGAGATAACATAGTCTGTAATGACTATGACGGTTTTGAACCGACTGTGCCTGCCTGCAAGTACCTGATCTTCCCTTGTTTGTCCATGAAAGAGGACAATCCCGGGATCACATTCTTCATGGTTTTCTGGCGGACAAAGTCACCGCCCAAATCAGAGATTAGATGCAACACTGTAAGAGCCTGAAATAAATTAGGTATAACTAAAATCTAGAATACTATCAAGTTTTCCTCCAGTAAAGGGTTTGTAAGAGGCAATTTCTGTCTGACAACAGATTAAAATCGAAAAAAAAAAAATTTTTTAATTTAGTGCGAACAAAATTTTAAAATGTATCACCATCTTAACAGGAAAAAGGTGTAATAACCATAGTGTGCATCCTGACTACTGAAATGAATTCATTACTTCTTAAGTCTTCATATTCAGAATCAGACCTGAATAAATATAGTTCTGTGATTGAAGAAGACCAGCTATGACATCTTACTTTTCAAAGAATACACCCTAGCAAATAGTATCATACTTCAACAAAGAATACATAAGCAAGATTCATTCCATCACATGACCAAGGACTTTTTTTTTTTATGTAAGTGTTTTTAGGCTCCCATCAGCACAATTTAGATTATTTAGGAAGCAGGCTTCGACCAAGCCAACAGGGCCAACCCAGGCTGAGAGGGATACAACCTTCCAGCGGAAAGACAGAGAATCTCCATAATAATTATTCCAATTCTAGAATCGAGCTTGGGTCACTTACTTTGATGACAACAAATTTTTCTTCGCTGCGAAAAAGTGGATAAAAACTGGCCCAGAGCTGGTGTATCTGTGGCAGGAGTTCTTCTGTGGATGAGATACAGTTTATCATTAGATGTTCATAAACAATTAAAACACAAAAAAGCAAAAAGAACCCCGGAAATAGGACTTACTTTACTTTTACTGTACTTTTACTTTCTCGGTCCTCCTATACCACGAGTGCATATCCATGCTCTATGTCCTTTACAACTATTATTAACCCAGTACACTCAGCTTCCATGCAGCTTCTTGGGAAGCAAACAGTGCAAGCTGTGGACTACACAATATCTGAATCAATTTCAAACTTATGGATCATAAAAAACAGTAAAAGTTCACAGGGTCAACATTTGTGACACCTTAAGGCAGGTTACTAGGGACCAACATCTTGGGCAAGACAAAGCTTCTGCATCCCTTAATCACTCATCTTAAAGTTTTTAAACTGAGAACTCACTGGAATTTCCCTTGAGATCAGTAACACACTGGCACAAAATGTCCAGCGATTTGATGCGCAGCCGTCCATCGGGAGATGTCAGGAAATGTTTCACTCGCTGTAAAATCTAGGAGAGAAAAAAATTGTTTTCATTGGATAAACCAAGTTATTAAATAATTTGTTACGAAAGGTCAGCCCATAGCTTCCGAAAATCAGAGGAGACAAAAATTATTTTTTTTAAACAGTCTCCATGTGACATGTACCAACACTATATGACCCTGACTGGAACTTTGAAGACCAAATCCTTCCTATCTGTGAACATAACAAAATGACAGCAGAAACCCATAAAACATGTTAAGCTTTTCAAATCATGGAAACTTTTAGACAGTACGGTACTCCAAACAAATCTCGTTCCCATCAGGTGAAAAAGGCAACAAAACTCTCTCCCCAAGCAAGTGACTGCACCAATGATAGTAAATAACAAGATGGGCCACTTCTCTCTTTGAGCCAATTAAAAAAGTGTCCTCAAAATTTGGTGGCGCCCTCTTCACAAAAGCGCACTCTTTGCGAACAGAGTTACCCTACTTGAGTTTTTGAAAAATCAAAGTGAAACTAGCAAGTTTTGGGATAAATTTCGGAAGAACGCTTTTGTAAAATGGTTACGCTGACAAAAAACCTCTTCCGGAGGAAAGGGTGATGGTTTTCTTCGTTTAATTTGACTTTAGAATGAAAGGCGAGAGGTCATTAAAATTTTAAAAAACCTAAAACTCCGCAATGAACGTACCCGAACTGCTGATGAACAGCAGTCGATCTGCGCACGCAAGGAGGTGCTATTCCTATTCTTCTTCTGGAAAAACGAAAGAGAGTTTCAAAACAGACTGCAGCGCCATCTGAAGCAAAGAGCATACTTCCTGCGGACACTTTTTTGGCTGAGTGGCCCATCTTGTTATTTACTATCATTGACTGTACACAAATGCCACTCTCTTGTCATGTGAGAGACTAAAAGAAGAACTTTCAAACACCTCTCTCCTGCCAAGCAATAAAGAAAACAAAAATTCTGTCATGTGACATAGACAAAAAAAAAAACAATCCTCTCTCCTGTAACGTAACATAGACAGAAAAAAAACCCAACCCTATCTTCAGTCATGTGTTACAGACCAAAAACAAAAATCTTCTTCTGCCATGTGATATAGACCAAAAAAAACCTGTCGTATGACAGACACATAAAAGCCTTCCCGATTTTTTTTTCAGTGAGGGTAACTATAATGACACTCACATCTATGACCACTTGCAAGTGGCGAGGACACTCTTCCGTCTTCTCCTTCTCTCTTTCCTGCTCCTCCTCTGCCTCTGCTGCTGCCTCCTGTCGCTCCTCCTCCTTCCTTTGTTCTTCCATTAACTTCTGCATGTCTGCCTCTATGTCTTCCATCTTTCTCTCCTCCGTCGTCCCATCCCCATCAGACATCTCATTTCCGTCTTCCTCCATATCAGCGGTTTTCTTTGTCCGGACATATTCCTCAACAAATGCAACAATGCTCTGAGGGTCCAGCTCAGCTGTAAGGGCTTCGGGAACCTGTGCTTCCTCCTGCAGTTTGCATACAGTAAACATTTTATCAATAAAGTGACAGCTCTTATAATAGATAACACAATTTTGATGGAAATGAAAGGGAAGATGAAAACTGAGATTTCAAATTTTAAACCACATACTGACTTTGTGTGCAAATAGAAGATAAAAGGATAAAGCCGCGATCTGTGGCTTCTGCTATGGCCAATGAGACAATCCTGGCAAAGAAGAGTTTGCTACATTTTGAGCATGAAAAATCTTCATCATTATTTGTGAAAGTATGCAGCTTATGGACTTCTATCTTGGCTTCAGCAGTTGTAATTCGTGAAGTCTCATATGATTTTCTGCCCTCCAACTGGGTCTATTAGGAGCTAGGCTCTCCCATAAAACAAGTGATGCATTCGTAACACCTCAGCTATCGTCTTCTAAGTCAAAGCAAGTTCAAGACAGTTTTAAAAGCTGTCATGGTGCAATACTATTGCTATTTTTTTTTTTTCATTTTCACGACATCATTTTCTGACCTTGACTTCTGTCGGAGAAGGGAACCAGCGACCAATGGCTGTGGCCAACTCTAGCAAGGCGGGCAGGAATAGCAAAAGTTCCTCTGCATAGTGGTCATCCAGGGTGTCCAACAGCTGAAAGATTGGAGAAACATACAAAGCTGTGCGAGTACTTATTGGCTGCATTGACTAACAGTAGATGTTTTCTCTGTCGACACTGTTAGGTCACTTAGGGAAGGAGCTGCTTCCACCCTGCTTGTCAGGGCCCACACAGACTGAGTGAGATACACCAACCGGGTCAAAAATATTTTAACATCACAAACTAAAACAGCCTCAAACACCACACCATTGCTGATCACCTTGGTGCAGCATCCTGCTCTTGAGCTACGGCTTATGTGTCTTGCTCAAAGATACAATAATTAGTGACCAGTATGTCACTGACATACTTGAGGTTATTTATCACTTGTGAGCCTGAGCTCACTAACCCATTTAGAAATCACATGATACAAGATTCACAAAAAGCAGGGGTCAGCTGAGCTGCATTTTGAGACTTGCTGTAGGGAAAGAGGGAAAGAAACAGGGCACGCAGAGAAGAAAAGTTACCAGACAGGTACAAGTTGGCTAGTTGTTGAAATGCACTACGCCCAAACATTTTTTGGTAATTTCTTTATTGCAGTTTCTTAATCTGTGGTACTAGTTGCATGTGCTCAGAAAATTATTTTTTTTAATTCACATTCTAAACATTGAAAAAGGCTAAAAAAAAACAACATATAACTTATGCTCCATTGTTAAAAGAATGAAATAGTTTTTTTACTCTTTACAGAAAAGGTTTTGCTTCCTTAGCTTAAAACATTTGAACAGCTTGTCGGTATATAAGTTTGCTGTACCTGAAGGATACTGTGTTCCACGATGGGCAGAAGACTGCTGGAGCAGTAACGCATCATGACACTGAGGGTCTGGGGGCAGCGACGATTCACCGTGATGTGTCTCAGCCTCAAAGACACGCTGCTCACCAGGTAATCTGCATTCTCCTGCATGAGCAGGTCTAATGAACTGACAAGAAGATTTAAAGTTTTTAAAAGTAAAAAATTGTCAAAATATTTTGTCTTTACTTTCAAGCAGGATTTAACAAAAGTGATCTCCATTCTCCTGAATGAACAAGTCTAATGATCTGATGAGCAGATTAAAAGTTTCTTAAACTAGAAAATGGTAAAAAAATTTCCTGTACATACAAGTAGGACTAAACAAAAGACAAAAGTAATCTACATTCTCCTGCATGAATGGGTCCAGTGATCTCAGGAGAAGATTTTTAAAATTTTAAAAGTAAAAAATAGCGAAATACGGTCGAACCTGCTCTAACAGCCACCTGTATAAGATAACCACCTGTACAAACAGCCCCTTTTCCCCCTTGCATGTTTTTGTACATTCTAATGACACTGTAAGCTGGCCACCTGTCCCAAGACGGATACTTCTCTCCCCGACAATGGTTGGACGTCTTAGACAACTACGGCAACTGTATTTCTCCTTTACTTTCAGGCAAGATTAAACTAAAATAATCTGCATTTTCCTGCAGGTACAATTCTGATGATATGATAAGAAGGTAAAAATTTGTTTCAAATGATGCAAATCATTAAACTTTTCTTGTAATTTAAGAGCATGGTTTGACAAAAGAAACAGGCTGCGTTGATCCTCTCTCGAATCTTTTCTCGACAAGCCAACAAAAGGAATATTATTTTGACAACTTTAGAAAATCACTATTCGAATGCCCCCAAAAAAGTCAATATCTACTAGATCTATCCCTTACTTCTTTCTCACTGAAATTTTTCAGTTATTAACACATGTGACAACCTTTTCTGGTGGCATTCAGGGAAAGAATGACATTTATGGGTCAAACATTTAAGAAGCTCGAACAAAAAATAATCTCAATTGTGCTTGTGATGTAAAGGTTAGTCTCTTTGTCTTGCACACAAAAAACAGAGTGGAATTATTCTCTCAGAAAGATACCTTCTTCGTTATCTCTTGTCTATTGGTTAGGATGTCCTGACTCAAAGTTGAAAGAGCCCATCTCTTAAATTACCTAAATTTTGATGATGGGGACATTAAGTTATCACAAAATATATTCCCAACGCTCCCCCCTCCCCCCAGAACAAAAAACATATAAAAAACAACTCATATCCTATCTATACTTGTTTTCTGATATAGAGAGAGTTTTACGGTATTTGCAACACAATTAGGTTGTATAACGGCAGAAGATTAGAAATGGTACAGGAGAAAAACAAAAAACAAAGAAAAAGAAAGAGGTGAGATAAGGAGATAGATGTCTGATAGATAAGAAGGAGCAAACCACACCAAAGCACCCGCCAACCACCAACTATCCATACTTGTATCCACAAGCGGTGCATATGTGAGTGAGAGCGAAGTAGGCGGTGCTGCTCAGATGTACGTTCTCGTGTCCCAGGTTCTCCACTAGGGGGTACAACGCACGGACCATGTGGGATTCAAACATGCTGCCTAATGCCTGGGGAAGAGACAGATGAGGTGAGATAAAGCGTTGTTGGTTCATTCATGAAACACTGCGATTAGGCAAAGTTCTGGAAGAGCAATAAGAACAGGAGCAGGAGGAAGAAGAGAAAGTCCCAGGTTCTTGACTAAGGGACAGCGCACGGACCATGTGAGCCTCAAACATACTGCCTAATGCCTGAGGAAAGAGACAGACAAGGTGAGACATCAGTTTTGTTTAAAGAAACACTGCCAGTAAGCAAATATATGGAAGAACAATAAGAATAGGAGGAGGAGGAAGAGGAGATCCCAGGTTCTCCACTAGGGGGTACAGAGTACGGACCATGTGGGATTCGAACATGCTGCCTAAAGCCTGGGGAAGAGACAGATGAAGTGAGATAAGGTGTTTGTTACTTCATGAAACACCTTCATTAAGCAAAGATCAGGAGCAATAAGAAAAGAAGGTGGAGAAAGAAGAGGAGGAGGTCCCAGGTTCTTTACTAAGGGGCACAGCACACAGACCATGTGGGCCTCAAACATGCAACCTAATGCCTGGGGAAGAGACAGACGAGGTGAGATAAGGTTCTTGTTGCTTCACGAAACATCGTCATTTAGAAAAGGAGTAATAAAAACAGCAGGAGGAGAAAGAGAAGGGGATAAGGAAAACAACAAAAAGGAGGAGAGAATGACAAGGAAGAGAAGAAGGGGAGAGAAGAGGAAGAGGAGGTGAAGAAGACCACACTTGAGCACATAAAGACTGCCCCAAAAACATAATACAAAAAGACAATACAAAATATACCTGACCCAAAACCACCTGATGACACAAAACAAAAGCCAAAAAAATATAAACTTGACCAAACGAACCGGACTACCACTCCTAAAACATAAAACATAATACAGAACACAATATATCTGATCTGTCCACCACCCCAAAACATAAAAATTTTTAATTGAAAAATAACCCTCACCAAAAAAACCCCCAAAAAACCCAACAAATACAAAAACAAAAATTATGCTATTAACGTCAGAATCAATTTTCCCAATCTCACCATAGCAAAGTTCCCGACTCCTTCCATGAAGAGACAGGCCAGCATTATCGCTCTGTTGCGTTGTGAGAGCCGCTTCTTTGATTCAAAGGACTCAGGGGACTCGATCATAAGGAGGGAAGAGCTGGAGGTCGATGAACTTGATGATGGTAACAGTGACAATGAGGATGACATCCACTGTGAAGATGATGATGATGATAATGATGATGATGGTGATGACGCTGCAGATTTGGTATCATCATACCGACTCACAAGAGCGAGATTCTCAGTGGAGAGGTACTCATCCAACAGCAGCCTGGAATGGAGGGATTGCAGAAGCCATTGATTTCACTATCATTAAAATCCAGAAAAATTGCTTTCAAAATTTGGGCCAGTTCAGCTTTAAACTGTGGACCCATCAACAAGTCACAAAAAAATTTCTCTAAAAATTTGGGTCAATTAACTTAAAACTCTGGAGCCATTAACAAGTCAAGAAAGATTGCTCTCAAAGCATTTGTAGCAGTTTAGCGTAAAACTGCTAGTCGGGTAGGTAATAAAGATCCACTCTGGGTCCCTAAACTCAATTCAGTTTATCCGCAGGTGAAGGATATGGCTTCCAGATATCAATAAAAGAACAATTTTTTTAGAGCATCTGAGCAAATGAGCGGCCAACCATGACTTCTTTCTTAGATGTGGAACTTCAAAAAAAGAAGTTAGTCAGGGTCCCTTTTTGTATGTATCTACATGTATTGTTACGGAGGAAATCTACATCTAGAAGTCTTGAGCCAGAGCGATTTCACGTGGGTTTAATTCGATCATCTTAGCATCTGGTTTTTTGTCAAAACTTGATCCATATTTGACACCCCCCTACCAGCCTTCCTCAGAAACACAGAGCCCCCCCCCCTCCCACCTTTACACTCCCCTTTTTTTTAATTTTAGAGGTTGTGTTCTACTGAAAATGTTCCTGGTGTTTAAACAGAGGCTATTATTACTGCAGACAAAAGCTTTTTGCTGAGCAAAAATTATTTTTATAAATGCTGTCGTAAAAATGTCTGGACATTTGAGACAATGTAAGACTGGATGTGAGCGTAACAAACTTGATCGTTTGGCTTCATTTTGAGAATTATTCTGTCCAAAGCTTTTCATAGGATTAAAATCCAAAGCCACTCCTAAATGAACAGCCTTACGTAATCAAGTCATTTAAAGCTGGCAAATTTGGGATCAGTTCGTCCGAGCTGTCGATGACATTCTCAGCAGCTGCTGCTTCTGTTGAGAAAAACAAAAACATTGATGAAATGATCTGAAACAAAATTAAGTAGGTTCATCTCAAGCCCTTCAGTGTCGCATCGTTCTAATCTCTCTTTCTGACCAAAATATCAAATTTTACAGAATTAGACACCAGCTGTTCAGTAAAATTCTCATAACTTGCTGTTTATTGCTCTACAGCCAGAAATAGTCGGTGACTAGAGTCCGTGACACAGGGTTTACATAAGTAGCCACTAGGGTAGGTCCTTGAGCAGGACACAACAACCCTGACCCAAAAAAACAGGGGGCTGCACAGTGGTGACCAGCAACAGCATGTTTGTGGGATTGTTCTGTACTGGGGTGATATTGTCTATTTATGTATGTAGGCCTATTTGTTAGTATTTATGTATGTATTTGTTAGTATTTATGTATGTATGTAGTTTTAAGTATGCATTAACGCATTTTTATGCTTGCAATTGTAACCCAAATTTCCCTATGGGATCAATCAAAAGAAATTTATGTAGAGTTTAGAAAGTGAAAATAACTAGCAAAATAAACTGAAACAAGCTTGCACAGATTATCTCTGTTTCACCACTTAAAATTCAGTGACAAAATTTTGGCACTTTGACAATCTTGGAAGGCCCAGTAGAGTTTTCTAGGCAGGCAAAGTACAGAAGGGATCAAAGTGAAGTAAACAAATTACATATCGATGGTCTTACACTCTATGTAATTGAAAGATATAGGTCAACTCTTATTTGTACTCCCTGTCTCTATATTTTCTTTTTCTATCCCCTCTCCTTTTCTTCTTCTTCCTCCAACTCCTCTTTTATGTTTTAAAT